TCACATATTTATATCTCAGAAACCAGGATGCACCTTACATTTGATGCCAGGAGAAAGCACTGCCAGTGTTTACATCGCAGTATGTCTAGAGAAAACAAGGGCACCTCTCATGAATGATGACATCTTAAATTCGTGAAATACTATAATAAAAAAGCCTCTGTTTATTGTGTCACATGGATTATTTCCTTTAGTCATCACAACCCCTCTAGGGTAGAGATATTATTACCCCTACCCTGTAGGAGAGGAAACTAATCAGAGTGGTGAAAGCGAGTCACTCAGTCATGTCCAACTCTTTGTGACCCCCATAGACTACACAGTCCATGGAATTCCTCAGGCCAGAAGACTGGAGTGGGTAGCCTTTCCCTTCTCCAGGGGATCTTCCCCACCCAGGAATCGAACTGGGATCTCCTGCATTGCAGGCAGATTCTTTACCAACTGATCTATCAAGGAAACCCTGATCCTAGGAAGCCCTAATCAGAGCAGTAGAGCAGCTAGATCATGTTCCCACACCTAATAAATAATGCAGCTGCTATTTCACAAGATTTACCTGGTCCACACATCTAAAATACTTTGTTCTTCCACAACAAAAGATTACGGGTCTTGTATACTAACAAGCTTTATTAAAAGATGCAAATGTCCAAGTGACTAAAATCAGGTAGCAGCACGAGAAAGTTCCCCGAGGGCCGATACGAGTTAAAATCCAGATTGGAAGGGGTGAAGTGGGACATGGAGTGGAATCTAGAGCTGGAAGGAGCTCTGAGGTCAGAAATGGGGTTGGGAGAGGCAGGGTGTACAGAAGCAGGAGACAGGCTCCAAAAGAGAGATGAGAAGGGAAGGGGCACAGCCTTGGCAGATTTACCCTGAAAATCCTTCCTCTGGCAGGAGGACAGGCTCAGAGGGTTGAAAACAGTTCCCCTAATTCAGCCCAACCCACTTCCCCCCTGCCCTAAGCATCTCTGCATCTGAACCCTGTTCTTTCTAGGGTGCATGTCTGTCCAACCCTTTGCAACCCCAGCCCACCAGGCTCCTCTGTCCATGGAATTTCCCAGCAAGAATACTGGAGTGGGTTGCCATGCCCTCCTCCAAGGGATCTTCCTGACCAAGGGATGGAGGCTGAATCTCCTGCATTGGAAGGTGGATTCTTTACCACTGAGCCACCTGGGAAGCCCTCTCTCTAGGGTAAGAGAGGAAGAGGGAAACTGAGAAACAAAGAAACCCACTACCTCTTTTGCCCATTTAATTAGTGAGACAGTCAAGTGCCTTTCTCTTATGCTTATAATAGTTATTTTCCACCTAAATGTCTGTAGAATTAGTTTATAGGAAGATATACGTGTTGTGAAAATAAATGTCCAGTGACAAGCCTCAGCTTCACATTTTGTGTCTGGAAAACTTCGTGTATCTATTGTTGCATATAACACCCCTGGCTGCTAGGGGGAGAAGGGAGTAGCACCTCTTTTATAAAGGAAGAAAAAGGGACTTTTCTGGTGGTCCAGTGGTTAAGAATCTGCCTTCCAATACAGGGGACGTGGGTGGGTTCAAACCCTAATTGGGGAACTAAGATCCCACAGGACTTCTCAAGTGGTGCTAGTGGTAAAGAACCCGCCTGGCAATGCAAGAGACATAAGAGACTTGGGTTTGATCCTTGGGTTGGGAAGATCCCATGGAGGAGGAAATGGGAACTCTCTCCAGTATTCAGGTTTCCCTGGTGGCTCAGACAGTAAAGAATCCACCTGAAATGTGGGAGGCCTGGGTTCGATTCCTGGGTTGGGAAGATCCCCTGAAGCAGGGCAAGGCAACCCACTCCAGTATTCTTGCCTGGAGGATGCCCATGGACAGAGCAGCCTGGGGAAAGAAACTACATGCTACAACCACTGAGCCGTCTGTGCTCAGAGCCCTTGTGCCCCAACAAAGATCCTGTGTACTGCAACTAAGACCCAATGTAGGAAAAAAAAAAAAGACCCAATGTAGGGCTTCTTCAGTGACTCAGAGGTAAAGAGTCTGCCTGCGAATGCAGGAGATGTGGGTTGGATTTCTGATCCAGGAAGATCCCACGTGCCTTGGAGCAACTAAGCTCATGGGCCACAACTACTGAGCCCGTGCTCTAGAGTCCGGGAGCTGCAACTCCTGAACCCACGCACAGCAACTACTGAAGCCCGAGAGCCCTGGAGTCCTTGCTCGGCAACCAGAGAAGCCACTGCAATGAGAAGCCGGAGCAGCAACAAAGATTCGGCACAGCCAAAATTTAAAAAAATAAAATAAAAAAAGATCCAACACAGCCAAATAAGTAAATATTACAAAAAACTTAAATAGGAAAAGAGAGATGTAGCAAGGTTCACAGACCCACCGGCTCCTCAACAGAACTGGGGCAACCCTATCAGCCAGCCATAGCCAGGTCCCCCCTGGGATGGCATGCACTTGCCGTGCATCCCATGGTGTCTTCCAACGACCTTCAGAGGAAAGGCTCAGAGATGCTGAGTGACCTGCCTAAGTTCTCCTAGCTAACAGGTGACACAGCCAGGATTCAACCAAAGTCAGTCTAACTCCAGAACCCTACATGACTACAGTATACCAGCTGCCTGAATTGACAGACTCTAGAACCTGTTCTCTGGTTCAAGGGCTGTATCCTGCACCCTCCCTCCACCAGCGCAGTGTTACAGGGTGAGGCTGCGTTCGAAGCCCCTTTTTCACCCATGTCCCTCCCTTGTTTCCAGCTGCAAACAGCCTCTGCTGTTTCTAGAAAAATTTAAATCGGTGGGGAAAGGCCAATAATCTACTTAATGAAATGACCCCCTCTTCTAGCCTCTCCACCTACTGGAGACCGAAGGAGTTAAAAATGAACCTCCCCAGAATGTGTCACTAATATGCGGGGTGATTTGAGCTCAAGGCAATGGAGGATCTAAAGACCCAGGAAGAGCTTTTTATCTCTCACTCAATTGCCTCAAAGAATTTAGACAGGGGGCTTGTCTCAGAGAGAGTTATTATCAAAGAGAACTTTTATCTGAGAAACGCATCTGCACAGCAGGGCAAAGATCTCATTACCAAACACATGTTCTCTTTTTGTCCTGTGATTTACCTTCCTCTGGTTTTTTTTTTTTTTTTAATTTGGTTGCGCCGGGTCTTAGCTGTGGCACATGGGCATGTGAACTCAAGTTGTGGTATTCGAATGCCTAAGTTGCAGCATGCAGGATCTAGTTCCCTGACCAGGGGTCAAACCTGCCCCCCCTGCATTGGGAGCACAGTGTCATAGCCACTGTACCACCAGAGAAGTACCCTTTCCTCAGTTTTGAAGCCCTAAGCTCTTATCCCATTCCTTAGCTCAGAATGGCATATAAGCCTCAACTGTCCTTGGGTCTCATATTCTTTTTAAGAAATACTTATTTTATTTTTATTTTTGGCTGAATCAGGTCTTACCTGCAAAGCTTGGGCTTCTCTCTAGTTGAAGTACCTGGGCTTAGTTGCCCTGGGGCATGTGGGATCTTAGTTCCCTGACCAGGGATGAAACCTGAATTGCCTGCATTGGAAGGTAGATTCTTCACCACTAGACCACAAGGGGAGGTCCCAGGCCCTTATATTCTTATGGGATCCCTGAATATATGTAATTACACTTGTTTTGCTCCTGTTCATCTGTCTTAGGGGTTTCCCAAGGGGCTTAGTGGTAAAGAATCTGCTTGCCAATGGAGGAGACGCAGGAGACATGGGTTCAATCCCTGGATTGGGAGGCTCCCCTGGAGAAGGAACGACAACCCACTCCAGTATTCTTGCCTGGGAAATTCCATGGACAAAGGAGTCTGGGCAGGCTGCAGTCCATGGAGCTGCAAAGAGTTGGACACAGCTGAGTGCCTGAGCATGCATGCATGCCATCTGTCTTGTGTCCATTTGATTATTAGAACAGCCAAAGAACCTAGAAGCCCAGAGGATGACTTTTTCCTCAACAGCATGCAAATTAAGTAGGATAATAAAAAATCCTAACCTGTAGCTCAGCAGTTTTATACTTCATTTCATATATTTCTCATCTATTAATCCTTTTGGTCCTGTGTGAACCCTGTGAGGACTGTAACAAGTACTACCTTTCTGGTTTTCCAGGTGAGGAAATGGGAGTCTCAGAGAGGTAAGACTGAGCCCAAGTTCAGAAGAAGAGATGGAGGGTTGACTTGAGCCCAGCATATTAAATCCCCAGGATTAGGGTAATTTCTAATAAGCCACCTTGTATTCACAGAGTTCAGACCCCAGTGAAGGTTAGTTGGATTTTTTTTTTTCAATTAAAAAAATTTTTTTTGTGGCTGTGCTGGGTCTTTGTTGCTGCGCTTGGGCTTTCTCTAGTTGTTGAGAGCCGAGGCTACTCTTTAGCTGTGGTGCGCGGGCTTCTTATTGCAGTGGCTTGTTATGGAGTCCAGGCTCTAGGCTCATGGGTTTCAGTAGTGGCACACAGGCTTAGGTCCCCCAAGGCATGTGGAATCTTCCTGGACAAGGGATTGAACCCATGTCCTCTGCATTGGCAGGTGGATTCTTAACCATTGGACCACCAGGGAAGGCCTTGCATTTTCTTGACTTAGCACAGGGGGAGGAGATGGAGGACTAAAGCAGGAGGAGAGGGAGAGGTCAGCAGAGGGCCAGATGAAGATGCTGAAATCCTGGGGTGGGTAGGAGAAAGAAAACAGAGAGAAAAGTCAGACCACTTGGGAATTGTCCCTGGGGTCCATTGAAACTCAAAGCTAAGGTGGAAAGCTGTCTTCTACCTGCTCAGGGCCCCGGAGAGAAAGGTGCTTTACAGATGTTCCCTGGGAGGCTTGGGAAGAACACCTCCCGCCTTCCCATGGCAGGGGAGGGGGGCCTGCCCAGTTGCCTTGGTAGTGGTCACATTGTGAGGTGGTTCTGGTTACAGGCCACGGGGTTGAGGAGAGAGGAGACAGAAGTGGTGGGGGCAGTGGCAGCCTCCTGGGCTCTGCCTGCCCCCACCCCTCTGCCTTCTGTCACCCCTCCCTTTTGTCACCCTTACTGTCATGGGCAGTGCTTACCACTGGGAGGCCCGGCGGCGGCAGATGGCTTTGGACCGGAAGAGGTGGCTGATAGCCCAGCAGCAGCAAGAGCAGGTGCAAGAGAGGGGCTGGGTTCACCGGGGTCCTTCCAGGGATAGGGAGGAGATGGGGAGGGAAAACAGATCCCCAGGAAGCTATTACCTGGCGAATGTTGTTTTGCTGGGAGCTGGAGCAAAGCAAGTTCCTTTGATGTCGTGGATGTGTGTGTGTGCATTGGGGTGACTCAGCTTTGTGGTTATACTAGGCTGAGGCCTCATGTGGGACTGAGGGGTCAGGCACAGGAGGTTTTAAAGCTGCACTGTCTGATACGGTGGCTACCAGCCTGTGTGCTATAGCCCTTGAGACGTGGCTAAGAGACTGAGGGACTGAATTTTAAATTTTACATATTTATTTAAGTATAAATTTAAAAACAAATATCCACTTTACATACTGGCAAAATTTTAAGTATGTTTGGAACAACTTGGGTATGTAAATCTACTTTTTTGATTGTAACTTATATGAACTCAAAATATTGATCAAGTTTATTTTGTAAAACTTGCCTTTCTAAAATGAATTTTTTTACTTTATTTTTGGCTGTGATGGGTCTTTGTTGCTGCATGCAGGCTTTCTCTAGTGCGAGGGCTTCCCATTGCGGTGGCTTCTCTTGTGTGGAGCACAGGCTTTAGGTGCATGGGCTTCAGCATGGCTGGTGGGCTCTAGAGTGCAGGTTCAGAAGTTGTGCCCGGGCCTAGTTGCCCCATGGCATGTGGAATCTTTCTGGACCAGGGATCGAATCCATGCCCCCACAGTGGCAGGTGGATTCTTAACCACTGGACTACTAGAGAAATCCCTTGATCAAACATTTTTGTTATTAGTTTATTTATTTACAGTTGTGCTGTGTCTTCCTTGCTGCTCCGGCTTTTCTCTAGTTTCGGAAAGCAGTCTCGGTGCACAGGCTTCCCATTGCAGTGGCTTCTCTTGTTGCAGAGCACAGGCTTCAGTAGCTGTGGCACATGCGCTGTGGAGCACAGGCTCAATAGTTGGGCTTAGGTGCTCCGCGGCACGGGGGATCTTCTCGGGTCAGGGATCGAACTGGTGTCACCTGAACTGGCAAGCGCTATTCTTTACCACTGAGCTACCAGGGAAGCCCTGCAACCACACATTTTTTGAAAAATGTAATGTCTAAATTCAGATGTGCTGTTGAGTATAAAATGCCCTCTGTGTTTTGAAGACTTAGTACAAAAACAAACACTATCAACTATCAATATTATCATATTGATTTTATGTTTTGGATGTATTGGGTTGAATAAAATACATTGTTATACTTAGTTTCACCTATTTCTTCTTCCTTTGTTATGTGGCTAATAGAAAATTTTAAATTACATATGAGAGTGAAAGCATTCGTCTCCGAATATGGTACCCATTAAATTTCTACTGGACAGTGCTGTTTCGAGGCATTTGTAAGAGATTATTCTTTACTCTCTGGCACTGCAAATGGATTTCAGTGCACACAGCTCTCAAGCTAGGAGGTAGGCAGTCAGAGGCTGTGTTTACTGGGCAGGGGCTCTGCCAGGGGGCACTGTTGCTATAGAACAGTTTAGGGTGTAGGTGGGTGAGGCGAGATGGCTCAGGCTCCAGGCTCAGCCTTCAACTCCAGGGAACAGAGACCCTGCAGTCACCTCCGCCTCAGGATTCCCTTGTCTTGCTTCCTGCAGTGTCTCTGGCAAGGTGGTGACTGGGTGGGGTGGGAGGAGGAATCCACTTGTGGGGGGGCTTCTTGCCAGGAACTGAAGAAACTCCAAGAAGAGGAACGTCAATGTGAGAAGAAAACACAGCCACCTCAGGAGACCCGGCAGGAGTCGCAGCCACCCCTGGCGCAATCACAGTTGCCACCTATGCCACAGCCACTGCAGGTGCCCCAGCAGCCACCACAGCCAAAGCAGCAAAACGCCCAAGAACGTCTTACTCAGAGCACCTCCCAGTACATCCTCCAGGATTCCCAGAGGCCAGGTCCCCACAAGGACACATACCAAGGAGAGGTGACCAACCCTCATGGTCCTGGTAAGATGCCCAGCAGTAGGAGGTAGTGAGGAAGGAGTCCCTGGTGAGGGCCCAGATTCCATATTTGGGGGAATCTCCTTTACTTGGGAGTCACTGTCTCTGAGTGCCTTTGTGCCAAGCTAGGGTGGCAGAGAAACCTGCCAACTTCCACAGAGGGTGGCTCAGAAGTTGTCAGTCCCTCCTCTAGGGTGAGGGGGACAGACTGGGGAGGGAGCCAACAGAGGGCGGGAGATGAGTTGTAGGCTTAGCAACAATGCCCTGAGCCCTGTGGGGTCTGGAACAGGGAAGCACAGGCTGGCTTCCTGGTAGAGAATTTTCAGTGTGGGCTGGGTCTGTGCCTTGCCTTAGATAGGGGGCATGGCCTGCCTAGTAAAGAATCCAGATGTGTCGTGTTCCGTTCTCAGAAACTGCCAGATGAGTAATTGTGCTTTGTTTCCTCATCAGGTTATAAGAAATGTAGCCCAGATATGCAAACCAAGTACTCACGATTCACGGTGAGACAGATTCAGAGTGTGAAAGCCAGATAGCTTCTGGCTGCGTGTCTGAGTGTGCTTGCGTGTAAGTGTGGGGGGAGTCTAGAAAGGCTTCCTTGGCAGAAGTTGGGAGAGGGGATTGAAGCTGTTCAGTCATTTCTGGATGGCCCATTCCTCCATTCCTTCCCCATAAGAATGTCTCGGCAGGCCCCACTGCTCAGCACCAAGTGTAAGTGAAGGAGCTGACAGTCTAGCTGGGAAGGCTGGACAGGTACAAAGAAGCACAATCTAGGGGCTGATTAGGATAGAGTCCGCTAGGCAGGAGGGAGGTAAGGCCTGAAGTAAGAGGTATGGTTCTCAGTTAGGATCACCACTCTCTGGCAGCATGACTCACTCTCTGAGTCTCAGCTGCCCATTCATTAAAGGAGAATGATACCAGTTCCACAGTAGAGCTGTCATGAGGACTGGATTAAAAGGGAAGGCATCTGAAGCACTTAGCTTAGTGTCCGCTAATTGTAGACCATTAAACCCATGAAGACTCTTGAGAGTCTTGGGAGTTACATAAAACAGGATGAGCTTTGGAAAGTTTTTTTTTCCTTCCTGACACAGGTGCCAAGGACAGGAGAACCTGATCATAGTCCTTTAAGATGAGGACTGGGCCATTCACTACATTTCACTTTGATTCCTTTGGCTTCAAAGGGCTTATTTAATACAGTAAGCAAACCCAGTGGGCCTGGGAACTGCTGACCTGTTTTGCCTCCTGTCTCTCCTCCTTCTCAGTCAACGAATTACATCCAGCAGTGGTGATTCAGAAATAGACCCCAAGATCCCACTGGCCATCAGCAAAAAATCAGATAAGCAACCTGATCTTCTTACCACCCAGCAACACCTCCACTTCAAAAGCCAGTCCCTCCTGATCCACTCTGGCAGAGGAGCTGAGCCAGGAATAAAATGTGATTTCTTCCTGGAAAGAATCGAAGAGACTGGTCAGGCTCTGTGAGATTGGGATGAGGAGGAGGGGTAGGAAGAGGATGGAGGGAGTGTGGGAAGAAGGTGGAAGGTAAGTCCTTGCTTCTCGAGGTAAAGCCTATGGGAGAACCTGGCTTTGCACCCCTCAAGTCTACAGCTCCACTACTGGCCCTTATTTAGGAATGATAGGTCTGTCGGGAGCTCAGGTTCATGACTCTCATTGGAGCCATCAGCCCGGCTCCCTGGAGGATGCTTACTGAGATACAGCTGGGGGAGGAGGGGTTGTATCACACCAGAGCAGACCTGGGGCAGCGATAGGAAGAAGTGGCAGACAGGGACCCCCTGCCCCAAGTCCAGCATCAGTCTGGTCCACTGTGGGCATGCCGCTGTTGATGATGAGAGGCAGGGACGGAGATAAAGAACTCAGAGGAAAGGGGGACTGTAGTCTTAGGCACAGGACACCTGACCTTAGGAAGAGGGGGACTGCCCCCCCCCCAAATCCATAGGCTTCTTCCTCCCTGGGTCTCAGTCTTTCCGTGTAGCAGAGACAGCTAAGAGGCTCTAAAGCCCCCAGATATCCCCCTCCCCACTTCCTGAAACTGACAGGTAGGGTCCCCCAGCCTCATCCCCTCTTCCACTCTTGACTGGTAAGGGGGGACGGTGCCTGGGTCCTTTCATTGTAGCATGGCCTTTGGGTGGGAAATTAACACATTCCGGTATTTTTGCCTGGAGAATCCCGTGGACAGAGGAGCCTGGCAGGCTACAGTCCATAGTGTTGCAGAGTCAGACATGACTGCAGTGACTTAGCATGCACAAAGGAAACTCTCAGTGCAGTGTTTCTTGAGAGGAGCACTTGGGGGAGGTATGGGGAGGGTGGGGACACAGAACAAGAATATTAAAGTTGGATGGGACTTCAGAGATATATAACGAGAGAAAGGGAGAGAAGCCAGAGAAGCAGGGCATGTTCCCGAGCGGCTCAGGGACTGGGGAAGACACCTTGATGCCCACCTGGACATTAAGAAATAGGCTGTGAGACAGGGAGTGTCCACCAGCAGCTCCCTTCCCAATTATAGGACACCTTTATTTTTCTTTTTTAAACACTGTTAAGTACAGTTTAGTGAATACAATATAAATCCTTTACATTTTCCGAACTCCACACAGCACAAGCTCCAGCCGGGACTTCGTGGATTTTCACGCTGTTGCCAGCACCACTTTGACCCCAGTTACTCAGGCATGAAAGCGTGCATATGCCATGAACTCCTCCCTTCCTCTTGTCCCCTGGTCAGCTAGTCATCAGGTTCTGTCCCCACTTCCCTTTCTCCATCCTTCCTACTTCACATTCAGCTTTCCCCACCCTCCAAGCTCATCTCTCTGCCTGTCTGAGTGATAGGAACCACGGTAAAGGCGACGCTGGCACCATCTGACCTGTGTCCACGTACATGGGCTCAGGGTTGTGACCTCCTTCAATAAATACCTTTTAACATGACTCTGGTGCAGAGAATAATATTAATAAAAGTGTCTTATGGAGAAGAGAAGCTTTAGCTGCAGAACAGCTCTGTGTTCCTGGGGACCCAGATCATCTATAACCAGGAAGGAGGCAGAGCCAAAGGGCCTTGGCCAAAAGGTGGGCAACAAGTTACCAGGAGAGAAGCAGGCCGTCACCAACGATCTGTCACGTGACCAGAGCAAAAGGCCCTGAGGACAGCACAGGCTGATCCCTGTCATTCCCATCACTGGGCGGAGAACTGGAAAAGGATCCGTGGAGTCAAACCAGATAAAATGAAAGTTTTCTCTGCATTCAGGCAGGAAGAAGGCCTTCCCTGGAGGAACCAGGCAACCACAGTGCTCAGCATAGGAAGGTGGGTCCTGCTCCATGCCTCTGAGGCAGCTCTGAGGAAACTTTGGGTCAGACTTTCCTCCAGACATAACCAGGAGGCCTCTGGTGCTGGCCTCTAGAAGAATCAGGCTTCTGATACTGTGGAAATCAGAGAGTGGGTGTGTGTGTGTATTTGTGTGTGTATGTGTGAGAGAGAGAGAGACACTGTATGTATGGGTCTATGTGTGAGAGAGAATGTAGGGGTGTGTGAGTGTATATGAAGTTAACTTCCACAGGAAGCTTCCTCTGCTGTGGGTGCATGGGGTGGGGAGGGTATGATAAAGCAGGGTTTTTCCTTTGGCAAAGTCACTATGGTCCTACTGGGTACCACGGAGTTGTGGGAGGTACAGACCAGGCCGGCAGGCGACGGGAGCTTGAGGACAGCAGACAGGTCACGGTGGGTGAGAGACCAGCAAGTGGGGCACAGATGTGTTTCCCCGACAGTCCACATATTCATAGCTCTGGAAGACCAGCTGCTCGGAACGGCTCAGGTAGGAATAGGTCAGGGTGCCCCTAGAGAGGAAAAGGAGGCTTTGGTAACTGTGTCTGGGAGGAAGAGGAAAGCCCTGGCCCTGCTCTGTTCTCTGGGGAGGGCTGGCTTCCTGTTTCTGTCATGGCTCCTGGGACAGCTGCCCCACCCAGGTCCTGGGCAGCTCCATGGGTGTCACATCAACAGCTCAGAAGCAAGGTGGACCCTAGAGGAAGGGCTGGACGTGCCACTATCAAGAGCCAACAGATTCATGGAGTCAGCTTGGATGACTTCCTTCCCACTAGGGGGAGCTGGAGTCAGAGGTGGGAGAGAGGGGCCTCCCTTGGTGGTCCAGTGGCTACGATTCTGAGCTTCCCATGCAGGGGACCCAGGTTCAATCCCTGGTCAGGGAACTAGAGTCCACATGTCACAACTAAAGATCCCGCATGCTTAACCTAAGACCCAGCAAAGCCAAAATAAGTAACTATTTAAAAAAAAAAAGAAGAAGTGAGAGAGGGGATACCAGGGCTTCAAATCCTACTTACTGGATATGCAAAAGCACATGGTGGACTTTGATTTCCAGCCAGGTACAGATTTTGCTGAGAAAGACAGAGAGGAAGAACATGGGACCACGTTTCACACTGAGCAGCCTGTCAGTTCAGAGGAGACCTGCAGTCCCAGGCCCCTGGCCTCCTTTCCATGGGGACCCAGGCCACTCCCACCCCTTCCCACTCCCTCTGCCTAAGGTGAGCACATCACTCCCCCAACCCCCACTGGCTTGGCCCAGGCATGTGCTGGCCATTCCCTTAGTAGAAAACAGCGAGTCAGGCTGAAGAGCCCAAAGTCATATATTGTAAAAGTGAAAGTGAAAGTCACTCAGTCGTGTCCACCTCTGAGACCCCATGGGTTTATACAGTCCATGGCATTCTCCAGGCCAGAATACTGGAGTGGGTAGCCTTTCTCTTCTCCAGGGAATCTTCCCAACCCAGGGGTCGAACCCAGGTCTCCTGCATTGCAGGCAGATTCTTTACCAACTGAGCTACAAGGGAAGTCCCATATATTGTAAGGATTAACCCAATTCTAGCCTGGTTTTCATTTCAATCCCACTCCAAACGGGCAGATGCTGGGGGCCCTGAACACTTGCACACTGCAGTCTTGGCTATAAGCATGCAGGCTGAATGCTGGCTGCAGGGTTGCTAAGCAATCAAGAAATCTGGTGGGGATTCAAACTGGGTTTCCAACCAGGACGGAGGTGAGGGAGAAGAGATCAAGCACTACTCACTATGTGTTTTCATCCCATATCTTGTTGGCCACTGCATAAAATATCTGTCAACCAAATGGTCATAGGGTTAGCCCCAGCCGCCCCCTTCCCCCCACCACCTGTGTCCACACACTTGTGCGGTGTGGGGCTGGCCAGCGAGAGGGAGTCACCTGTTCAGTGGCTAAAGAGCCGATGTGGAGAAGGAGGCTGTGGGAGACCTGTCCCACCACGAGGGACAGGTGCAGAACCTCGATGGTCAGCTGGGTCACAGTGATAGGGCAGTAATTGTTATTGGAGATATTCAAGATACTCTGGGGAGGAAGACAGGGAAAGGGAGAGGTGAGAGTAACCATCCTTGGCAAGAAGAAGTCAGTTTCAAAAGCCCCCAGCCTGATTGAGCCCCATCCCCAAGTGAGAGCTTCAGCTGCTGGGGCACCAGTGCCAGGAGCCTCTTGAAGGGGCTTTTAATGACACAGGGTCACTGTTAACCAAGACCGTAAAAGTGAAAGTGTTAGTCGCTCAGTCTTGTCCGACTCTTTGTGACCCATGGACTGTAGCCTGCCAGGCTCCTCCGTCCATGGAGTTCTCCAGGCAAGAATACTGGGACATTAAGCTGTCTCAGAAAGCAGTCTCACCTTGCAAGGCTCTTTCTGTTCCCCTGCCCACCTGGAAAGTCTCAGGCATACCACTCCCTAATACTGCTCTGGCCTCAATTCTAACCTCTCACAGTTCCAATCCTACACAATCTGTTAGGGGCTTCTCCCCAGGCTCCTGACATCCTCTGAGTGCCGTAAGATCCTTGGCTGCCCATGCCCAAGGTCAGAACACAGGACAAGGGCTTCAGAGGAGTGCCGCCTGGAAGGTGGGGTCGGAGCCCAGGGGCACAGGCACCCACCCACCGTTATGTTGAGGTAGACATTGGCCTCATCAATGGCCACCGTGGAGGAGTTGAGGCCCACAGGCTGCACGGCGATTGTCCGGGGAAACAGGAAAAAGACGATGAGGGACGAGGTCACCAGACAGATGGACACTGCCAGGAACACGGAGAGTTTCCTGTGGGAAAGCAGGACCCGGGTAGGAAAGTGGAGAAGTCTGGACACAGAAGCAACCTGGCCAGGGGTGTTCAGATACTCTTCTCTGTACACAAGGCTCTCCTCTGAGTTCCCCTCACAACTGGACACTTAGCTCCTCAGGTGTGGAGGAGCCTAGAGTCAGGGGTGGCCCAGAGTGGGGAGAAGCACAGGACTGAGAAGTCAGCAGCTTGGTGTCCATCCCCAGCGCTCTGTACCCACTGGCCCAGTAACTCTGAACAACCCATTTAAGCCCCAAGCCTCAGTTTCCTTGTCTATAAAATGCGAGATAATTCATTGTACCTACCTACCTCATACAATCTGTTATGGGCTAATGCAGGAAAAGCCACCAATCCCTGGTCCTGGTGCGTAGTCAAAGGCTAAACCAATGCCAGCTATTGGCCAGCTATCACTGGAAGAAGTCCACATGAATTTTGAGAGTTCTGAATTTTAATACTCATATTCAGAACCAGACATCATCTGTCCATCTAATTCAAAATTATAATATGCATTAAAGAGACCGCACCTTGGTAGCACCTTCTAAGGGGCACTGCCAGATTTGGATTCTGATGCAGTGGTGGGGGAGGGCTGGGTGGTGGCTCCCAGATGGAAGCTGAGGACCCTGGGAGGAGGAGCCGCAGGGATTCATGTCAAATGACCCAGATGACAAACAGAGTCACAGGCCCCCACAGTGAAACTCAGGGCTGCCTCTGAGGTTCTGAAGGGTCCCAGGTCAGGGAGTAGCTGGCTTTCCATCTTTTTGGGGAAGAGAACAAGCAGGTCTGAACTGCCATAGCAGAGGAAGTTCTTAGGAAAAATCATTTCCCCAAACCAATGGCAATTAAACCAATGGCAACTCCCTCTATCCTAGAAGGATTTGTAGAGTCAAGAGGTCCTCTCTGTCTTCAAAAGGGAGCCATGCTTCTTGGAAGCAGTGATGCTTTGGATACTAACTGACCTCAGGTGGTCTGCTGTGCCCTGAGATTCTTTAACTAGGAAAATCTGTGGAAACAGGGTGCTAATATGTCTGAGCCCAGTGAGGCTCAGGCTTTTGGAGGAGAACCAATGGAGAAAATTTAGTAGAGGAGGGCACATTGGGTGGGATGACAAAGAGGAATTGCCTCCACGGTCAATGCCTGTAGAACTGGGGTAGGAAGAGGGGCTTACGTGTGCCTGGGCTTCAGCCTCTGGTCCCCATAGGGGATAAGGGCCACCAGCTGCTTCTCTAGCTCTGTAGAGAGAAAAAGGATGAGGAGGGCCACGAAGTGTTCATGACAAGTTTCCTGTATCAGCCTGCAAGAAGCTCCCCTCCATCCCTGAGCAGTCTCAGAAGCACACTATCTCCGACCCAGGGCAGGACTGGGGACACTGGCTGTTGGCAGCTTAGTTTTGCCATTTCTCGAATGGAGGTGAGATTTTCATTGACAGGAGTGAAGAATTTCTGCAAGTCATCACAAGTCAGAAAAGCCCAGTTTCTTTGGAGAAACTGGGAACTTCCTGAATCCTACGGCAGGGTTGCTAAGGAAGCAGAGAGGCTGGAAATCCCCTGGGGTTGGATGGTACAAACAGGGCAGGAGGGAGGTCTCTGCAGAGAGCACAGGGAGGGTTAGAATCTCCCTGGACCAGCCTGAAACTGGGGGACTAGGAGCCCGATGACCTAACACCATCCACGGAGACTCAGAGGGGCCTGGTGCTGGCCAGCTGGCTGTTAAGAGCCTTTCCTGGATCCCAGGCTACTTCCAGAGCCTGCAGTTACTCACCTCGAGGAATCTCCCCACTGCCCTGGCAGGTGGGACAAGTTACAAAGCCAGCACCAGCAGCCCTTTCACAAGGCACACAGGAACAGAAAGGCTTGCTGTTGCCGGTGCTGGAGTAGCTGGCAGCCTTGCTGCCAAAGGCTGGGTCGGGGGGCAGGATCAATTTGTTCTCATCCTCCTGAGAGGCCAGCTGGGAGAACGTCTCACCCATTGTTCAAGGATATTTTTCACTGATGAAAAAAGAACAAAATTCAGTTAGCGTGGATGTTGGATGTCACTCTGGTTTTAGGCTTTCGAGATTGGCAAGGGGCCCCACCACAATTTCAGCAAGCTCAAGCCTAAGGAAGTGAAGGTATGGAAATTCAAGCAGTTACCCGTGGCTCTTAGATCACGAATCTCTGCATTTCAACTCCTCTCTATTATAGGACAGCTCAATTCCGAGAGGGAAAAGCAAAGCAGAGGTTATTTCACTTTAAGGGACTTTCCTAAGTGAAAGCAGAGCACTTATTTTGTTCTGGAGAAGTTGCTGAGCTGTCACTGATTACCAAGGAAGGAAGTTAGATAGGGTTGGCTTGGGGGCAGCAGCCAGGAGAGTCCCTTCATCCTCTGAGACAAGACGATTCTGAACATGTCTCTCCAGCACCCCGGGGCAGAAATGCCTGAGGTCTCCCAGCCTGGGTCTTCCAGCTTCCATTCCTGAACTTGGGCAGGTACTGGTATAATAGGAAGGTAGGGATTCTTTGGAACAAGAAAGAAAAATGAAGCTAGACTGGTCACAGATGTGGCTTAAAAAACCCCTAAAAAGGTCGTGGAAGGGAGCATAAACTTCTTCTATGTTGCTTTCTAAGGTGGGATGGGAAAGAATGTCTGGGGGAGGGGCAACGTCTGGGTCAGTCCTTTACGAGGAAGAACCGAGGCTAAAAATCTAGATTCTCAAGAGTGGAGTCAAATGAGTGGGCATCGTGAGCTGAACTCTGACCTTCTGGGCTAAAATAAAGGTAGCCTCACCTGGCTTAGGTCTGAGATCCCGGGCTCCTCTCAGCTGCGAGGGCTTTTGGAGATTTTTGGAGTACGTCTTTGGGGACGAGAGCCTTTAGGGAAGGGTGGCTCCAGGATCCTGGGGGGTGGGGGCGAATGCCCCGTTGGGGCAGGTGGGGAGCCGCGACTGTGGCCTACCCATAGCCCCAGCTGCTTCACGCCCTACTCTGAAGCTGGGCCTGGACTGAGAGGCCAAGATTTCATCGAAAGAGGATTTTAAGTCCCATCAGACACCCCGAGAGGCCGTTAGTAGAGTTCGGTACCTGCGTGTTGCGCTAGGAGGAGGAGGCACAGGCGGGGCCTGGGCCCTTGCCTCCCAAAGGAAAAGTTAAGGAATTTCTCAAAGCGCCTTACCCTCGGGCGACCGCGGCGACAGAAACGCCTGCAAAGTAGAACCGAAACTGCGGGAGCCGGGGTCTCGCCCCAAGCTTTGATTCAAAGCCTTGGGAAGCTCCGCCTCGGCTCCTCCGAACCCGCCCCCAGGGCCCGCCCCCTCCCTCCCAGGGCCCGCCCCCTCCCTCCCAGGGCCCGCCTCCTCCCTCCCAGGGCCCGCCTCCCTCAACACAGCTGCCAGAACGTTTCTCAGCTCTTCAAGGGCCATGCGAGGTACTGGACGAAGGTACCAGCCAGGGCAGGTAAGAGTTTCAAAGTTTATTTCACCATTCTTTAAGCGGTTACGTACAAGTACAATGGGACAGACGACTGGACCCTTACAATACGACTCAGATGGTCAAGACAGATCCCGTCCCAAATCAACTCAATTAATTACACACAACCGGCTGCTCAGCCTCTACCCAGACGGCCCCATAAAAACGTTTTAAATAACGAACAGCCTGGTTGGCTTGCAGTCTGAATCCTGGCCTATTTAACAGCATTGAAGGGTTATACTGTAAATAAACATCATTATGGCTAATGATTAAATCATCATTCACTGTAATACCAACCAGGTTATATAATACTATTTTATTATCCCTCCCCCTTCAGGCTGGGGGGTCAGATTTCTTTTCTGCAAGCAATTTTTATGACTAAAATCTTTAGTGTTTTTTGTTACCTCTTTACCAGCTGTACCCAAGACTCCCTTCTATAAACAGAGTGAGGACTTTGGACCTTTGTAAGCAAGCTCTTTCCCAATCACTTACCCTGGGGTTGAATTAACCAAAACTTTTTTCTGTGAGTTTGCTCCCCATCCAAGTTTTGTAAAATATCAGCCTCTTTTTCTTGTTCTAAGTTCTCTTGAACAGATTTCAAACATTCAAGAGACATTCAGGACTTCCTGAGTCCCATTTCAAAGCCTCACACCCACTCATTTGCCCGCTCCTGAATTTTACTGATATTCACATAATAAAGTTCAGTTTTCTCCTGTTTCTATACAGCCCTTGCCCACTCTACTGTAAATAAGACCTGCCCCCTGACATAAAGAAAAAAGTTAACTGTTAAATTTACTTTTTCCTTTAATAGAAGTTTTTTTTCTTCTTTATAGGATTAGCAAAATATTTCACACTACCTAAACTTTTTCCCTTAAATAAAATACAAATGTATGCAAAATTGCTACAATAGACACTGTTCAACAGGTGCTGGTGGGTTATTTAGCACACTCCCCGCTCCTTACTCAGAAGTGCAGAGACGTGGAAGGTGGATATACTTCAACGCATCAGTGGGGTCTTTAGAAAACAACAGTGCTGATTACCGAGACTTGCAGAGAAGTGACTTTCTACTTGAAAAGGGAAGAGTAACAAAATTCCTATCACATTCTAGGTGTCATTTTAATACCACATAGCTATTTAAGCTTGGGATAGGTTAAGAGAAATTATGAGAATAATTCTGGAAAACAACTTCCAAGGTTAATTCCTTTTAAAAACTAACAGATATCCTCATAAAAACATCCATGTTAAGCAAAGAAAAATACTCAACTTCAATACAAGCAGAAAGAAAAAGGGTTCTATAGGAAGTTTAAGTTATACTCTTCAGTGCACTAAAACAGAGAAAGGAGCTTTATCCAAATCAATTGAAAAATGCTCTTGCTACAATTCACCTAATGTCTACGGTGAAAATTTTAAGTTCTGGTTTTTTATTTGCTCCAAAAAATACTGCAATGCAGGTACTGTCTTGATAATTCAATGGTGGGCTCTTATTATAGATTCATCAGATTAAAAAATAAGCAAGGGTCTCTACCCCATGCCCCAACAGAATAAAGATCATCTCTGAGCAGCAGGCAAAGTTATTTAATACGAGGTCACTCCTCAGTAGCGGTGGCTATACCAATCGTTGTTGTTGACCTGAAGGAGTTCTGTCACCACTTGCAGGATGTTGTAATTGTGTTTCTTCAGCAGCCTTAGGTTCAACTGCCTGTCACAGAATCCCATTTCAAAGAGATGGGCCATCAGGGCTGCTGTCTGATCTTCAGAAACTACTGGCTGTGTAGAGTCAAGAAAAGCAGAAAAACAGTTTCTGTAAAAATCTGTATTATTTTGTTGAGTAATTCTAATCTTTTCAGATTTATTCAAAACACTAGTTAATTAGGTGCAAGACTATGACACTCCTGTCCACCCAACACCAATGGGTCTTCTGAGGGGATAAGAAGGACTGGGAAAACTCTATTTTGGATGAGGTATGTTTGTATCCCAAACCAGGTAACAAATGAACTGTCTTTAGAACTAGATGAAGAGATGCAAACACACTCTGGAAACCCTGTGAAGATAAAGGTGATCATGATGATGGGCCAAGGAGAAGAAGAGCTGTTACTGGAAAAGAGTCTGGGAAATTTACTCAGATACGCAGAGGAGCCAGACCAGGAACTGCTCAGGAAATGACATCCTGGGCAACCTTCTTGGCTTTTTTTTTTTAAATAAAGAATAGCAGTTTTTTATTGCTAATTTAATCTTTTACTTTTACTTTCCTCTTTGGGCCAAGCCCTGTGGTGAACTCATAACCTTCCTAAATCCTCTGAACACTCAGAACACCCTCTTATCATTTACTTAACAGCTGTGTTGAGTACCAATTTTCTTACTTTAAAAAAAAAAATGGAAACACAGGTTAGCTAGTATTTTGCAGGGTGGTTGAGTGGATTAAAGCTCAACATTCAGAAAACTAAGACCATAGCATCCAGGCCCATCACTTTATGGCAAATAGATGGGCAAGCAGAGGAAACTGTGAGACTTTATTTTTTGGGGCTCCAAAATCACTGCAGATGGTGACTGCAGCCATGCAATTAAAAGCCACTTACTCCTTGGAAGGAGTTATGACCAACCTAGACAGCATATTAAAAAGCAGAGACATTACTTTGCCAACAAAGGTCCATCTAGTCAAGGCTATGGTTTTTCTAGTAGTCATGTATGGATGTGAGAGTTGGACTATAAAGAAAGCTGAATGCTGAAGAAATGATGCTTTTGAACTGTGGTGTTGGAGAAGACTCTTGAGAGTCCCTTGGACTGCAAGGAGATCCAACCAGTCCATCCTAAAGGAAATTAGTCCTTAATGTTCATTGGAAAAACTGATATTGAAGCTGAAACTCCAATACTTTGGCCACCTGATGCGAAGAACTGACTCATTTGCAAAGACCCTGATGCTGGGAAAGATTGAAGGCGAGAGAAGGGGACGGCAGAGGATGAGATGGTTGGATGGCATCACCGACTCAATGGACAGGAGTTTGAGTAAACTCCGGGAGTTGGTGATGGACAGAGAGGCCTGGCGTGCTACAGTTCATGGGGTTACCAAGCTCCGGACACGACTGAGTGACTGAACTGAACTGAATGGATTAAGATAAGAATGGATGTTATTGTACTGAGCACTGTCTCTGGTATTTCTCTCTTCTACGGTTCCTTCTATTTCAGAGTAAGTTATCCATTCTCCTTTCCAGGGTAATCCTTCTGTATGAACTTCACTTTGTATCTCATTACCTCTCGTAACCTCGGAAATATTTTTCTACTAATTGATCTCTCTCATTTTGATTGTTAACCTCCTTTGCTACTGGCTCACCTTTAAAGATGTCTCCCTCTGCCTTCCCTGTCCCAGCTTTCACTCTCCTTTTCCCTTTGTACAGTCCAGCTGTTTGAAAGTGAGGCACAGCTGTGCTCTTAAAGTCCTCTCTGCTCCGTCACAGTCCTCTACAGCACCTGACACTGCTGGTCATGCCCTCCTCGTTAAAACTCCCTTCACTTCCTCCTCATTCTCTGTCTTCTATGCAGAGCCCTCCTTTTTTCCATGATCCTTAGAGACTGCTCCTTCCTTTATCCATTCTTCCTGGAAAATTTTATCTAATCTGTGGCTCCTGTTATATCTTGTACATAAATGACTTCATTTCCAGGCCAAACTTCTTTTCTCTGTAATTCAAATGTATAAATCCAACTATACTCTGGATAACTTGACCTGGGTGTGTCTCAAATTCAACACCACCCCAATTCACCCTGATTTTCTTTGCCTTCTGCCCAAATATACCCTTTTTATATATCCTCTCTTAATAAATGGTACACTACCTAAACCAGAAACTTTTATCCTTGACTTCTTTCTAGCCTTATGGTCTCCAAGTTCTGTCATTTCTATTTCTCTTCTATCCTTCTTTTTTTCTTATGTGTGGATTCTCAGCTGGATTTCTTAAGGCTCCCTCAGCCTCCGCACTATGGAGGAGTGGAGTGATCTTACAAAGAACAAATCTGATCATGTTAATTATTTCCTTAAAATCCTTCAGAGGTTGCCCACGGGGCCTAAAATAAAATCCAAATCACTTAACACAGCATCCCACCAACATCACTGGTCTTTTCTCTTCTTAGAACAAATTTACCTTCCAGGTTCACATTTCCAGATCTCTTTACTGGCTAATCTATGTCTACCCTTTCTGACTCTGACTCCCGGCAAACACTTTTAGGATGACTTTAGGCATCATCTACCAGGAAGCCTTCCTGTGCTGCACTGTGGGGCCAATATCAGACTGAGGTGTTCCACTGGTCTGAGAAAGCTGGTATAGTACCTTACATTGCACAGTAAATGTGTGTGTCTTTTTTAATTAGATGAAAGATTCCTTAAATTCTGTAGTGCTTTGCAATTTTCAGAAGTTTCATAGACAAATGTCTGTTTACTTCTTGTTTCCCCACTTTGGGCAGGAACTGGTGTCTGATTCCTCTTGTAGCACTAGCACCTGGGAGAGCTCCACACACATACTAGGTCTGCAACAAACATTAGGTCTTTTTTCTTTCCTCCCTTAACTTAGCCAAAGTCATATAAGTGGAAAGTGGCCAAGTCTTTGTGTGTTAATCAAACACTAAGTTTTGGTGATACATATATCCAATGGAATTAATGATAAAAAGGAACGAATTTGAGGCAGTTCTATAGAGATGGATGAAACTAGAGCCTGTTATCCAGAGTGAAGTAAGTCAGAAAGAGGAAAACAAATATCGTATATTAACACATATATGCGGAATCTAGAAAGATGGTACTGATGAACCTATTTGTGGGGTAGGAATAGAGATGAAGACATAGAGAACAGACTTGTGGAAGCAGAGGGTGAGACAAATTGAGAGAGCAGCATTGAAACATATTCGTTATCATGTGTAAGAGATACATAGCTAGTGGGAAGTTCCTGTATAGCACAGGGAGTTCAACCTGTGCTTGAGGGGTAGATGGGGTGGGGGAATGGGAGGGAGGTTCAGGAGAGGAGACATACATGTACTCATGGCTGATTCTCGGCTGCTATACAGCAGAATCCAACACACACTGTAAAGTGATTATCCTCCAATTAAAAGAAGACTAAACTTAAAGCTCATGCTTTCTGTGATGACATGTGACTCTCTCCAGCCCAGGCAGATATCATTGTTTTCACTAGTGACTTAGATTTGGTTCAGGAAAATAAAACATACACTGACCTGTGCAGTGACTGGTGGTCCAGCAAACAAGGCCTTGTATGCAGAGGCAGCAACGGACAAAGCCCCCTTCACCAGTCCTCCAGCAATGCTGTTCCCGTGGTGGTGGTGGTGGTGCCTGAGAAGGAAAGCCAAATTATCTCCCTAAGAAACACTAATTATTATCTTCCTACAAGATAATCTGGGCTCTCATCTGGGAAAGTAAATGAGATTTCCTGGAGAAAAAAAAATCAAATGTAAAATGAGTGTGTGACTGTTTTCCTATCAGTTTTATAGTTACAAATTTAGGTCCAATGTAGGGCTCAGTTCTTACTGCTATAAGATATGGGCACTGCAGAAAACATGTCACTTTTTCATGCCAGCTTTCAGCCCCAGTGGAAAATTAATGTGGTCAAGGGCACAGTGAGGTACTGGCAATGTATCTGCTCAGTTACCATCTCAGAGGAAACACCTTCCAAAAGAAGGTGATTTTCTGAACACTGTATACGGGGAGGGGCCCAACTTAACACTGCCTTGAGATTACTAGGAGTAGAGAGGCAGGTTTGTCTAAGAACAAGTTACGAGATGCACAAGGGGCTGGACCTTCCTGCCCTCCTCTGTTACTAAGCAGGAACTGAACCTAAGGGCACTTCTTCATGGTCTGAACTGGGAACTCTCTTAAACATCAGTGTTAGCCCTCTGCTCAGGGTTGCTCAGAAATAAGAACAAGAAGGGATGATGGCTCTCCTCCGTCACTCTCAGGAGGGGGCACGTGCTCTGAGAGGCTCGTGTAAGCAGGGTAACACTGGGACATCCACCTGCTTCTGAAGAAGAGGCTGCACAGGCAAGGTCCAGTTACCTTGAGTGGTCATAGCTCTTCGGTCTGCTGTTTACAAGTCCTGATGAGCCTCTGAGCTCTAAAAGCAAAAGAGCTGTTGGTTAGATGCAGCATCTAGAAATGCCTGGGATTTCCTAACTCCCAGCAGGGCTATTTCTGAGGCATGTTAACAATCTGATCACAACATTTCAAGCCTTTAATTTTTTGGCTGCACCACATGCCATGTGGGCTCTTAATTCCTTGATCAGAAATTCAACCTATGCCCCCTGCATTGGATGCAGAGTCTTAAATCACTGGGCCGCCAGGGAAGTCCAGGCTTTGTTTTTTGAGGAAGAGAGGGAAGCCACTGAGGGTCTACTCACAACTCCAAAGTGCTATTCTCTTTATTTTGTAGATGAGCAAACAGACCTTCAGGTATTATCAACCTGCTGAACCACTTCAAGGTTACACAGTGAGGAAAGGTAGGGCTGGGCCTGAACCTAGACCGGGCTGGTTCCAAAACCTGTGTTCTTTCTACTACAGCACAAAGCCAGCTTCTATGGGGTCTTGTCTAATAAATATTAAGCTAGAAGATAGAATAAAAAGAGTAGGAGGGAGGAACACAGAAAAAGTCAAAGGGCAAGTTTCGCAAAACTGCCAAGAACCACGGAGTGCCTAGGTATACCTGGTTTCCATGAGAAAAGAGCACAGAGAGAAAGCTCAGGTAGGTCATTACCTCCTCTGATCTGACCAGGGACTGAAGAAACTTCTGGTACGGTAACTGGTAAATCCACTCCTGGGGAGCCATGATGCTGTGCACAGGGAGGACTCCTTTCGGAAAGACACAACATTGAAAGCGAGTTGAGAAGACACCTCTGGTAACAGTGGAGAAACAGCAAACAGGCACAGCAGGGCTAGATTATCTACAGAGGCTTCACACTGCTGATCCAGAGCACATGTCTGCATCTAGGGATCAGGTGGGAAGGGCTCACTCTTCTGTTTTCCTCTTCGGCCACAGTCAAGCTAGAAAGACTGGCTGCAGTCTGGTCACTCCCCTGCTAATTACTTAGCTAATTAAGGTTAACTAAAGCAAGTGTTTCTTTAAATACAGGATCCACAAATACTGGGAAGTACAACTTTTATTCATCAGACTTTACTATGGGAAATCGCCATTTCCCCCGCTGACAGAGAAATAGGTTTTGAGATCAGGTTGAGTCCTCTCTTTATTTCACCTCTGGAGGACAGCCCAGCAGAGTGGGGTACAGATGGTACCTGGGCAGCTGTGGCGGAGGCCCCACCACCTCTGGGGTTAGGGGCACTGTGTCCAGAGTCTGTGAGGTCATAAGGATGTCACTGATGCTGTGCCCTTGTGGCTGGCTCTCCCCTCCAGGGGGTCTCTCCCCAGCTTCGACTGGTTCCTGCCCAGCCTCAATCCCAGGCTCGCCTTCAGCCCCTCGCTCCAGGCCTGGCTGTGAGAGTGCAGAGCTGTACATGGAGTCCCCCAGGGGGCGGCTGGTGTCAAAGCACTCAGGCAGGATGATGATATAGTCCTCTGAAGAAGCAGAGGACTGACTCCGAACTTCATCTTTGAGCTCATCCTCTTCCTCCACAACAGCCTCTTCTTCAGCAATTTGGACAATCTCCTCCCTCTCGTCTGCAAGTGGTCCCTCTTCAGGTGAGGCAAATTTCACTAAAGGGTGAAAGCATCCAATTTTAAGGTACAAGCTAAGAACAGTCCCTCGTGTTTACTCTACCCTATACCAAGCCTTGTGGTTCATGAGCTATAATTATGAAAGCCAGAGGAGAGGGACAAACCAGAGGGCCACATTCAAAGTCTGAAGCTGCAAAGAACCAAAGTTCATAAAAACAAGGGCAGCAGAAGCTTCTGAGTAACACTATGAACCTTAAAACAAGGAGGCCCCTTTTCTTTTCCCCTTTAGGGAACAGTTAACTGTCAGAGCGACCCCAAAGACTATAAACTCATGGAATTCTCCAGGCCAGAATACTGGAGTGGGTGGCCTTTCCCTTATTCCAGGGGATCTTCCCAACCCAGGGACTGAATCCAGGTCTCCCACACTGCAGGTGGATCCTTTACCAGCTGAGCCACAAGGGAAGACCAAGCATACTGGAGTGGGTAGTCTATCCCTTCTCCAGTGGATCTTCCCAACCTAGGAATCGAACCGGGGTCTCCTGCATTGCAGGCAGATTCTTTACCAACTGAGCTATCAGGGAAGCCCCTAACATAGTGGGATGGTTTCAAATCGAAACTGCTAAACTAGCTAACAGTGCTATGATAAGAGAAAACATATGGTGCTAAATACCACAGGACTGTATAACTACTTTTGACTCCTTCCCTCTTCTTCTTTGCAAAGTAACAAGTAGTCATGACAGAAAACTGGCAAAACATGGATGAGTTAAGAAAAAAAAACAACAAACTACCGATAATCTTACTGAGACAACTACTGTGAACATTTTGGTATAAGTCCTTCTAGACTTTGTTTAGACTTTTTTTGTAATCCATTTGTACTCAAGTGTGTGTGTGGAAATACATATATATTTTTTAAATACATAGGTTTAAAATTCGAGTGTTTGGATAGTATCTGAAATACATGAAATTGGTTCTGCCTATCTGACCTCTAGAAATTCTGCCACAAAGAAATTTATTACAGCAGAATTTAACTCTGAGAAACTTCAGCTTGGTGCTGCTGCTTCTGCCCACTATTTCCTGACTGCTGCCCTTGGAGAAATGAGACAACTCAGCTGCTGGGGGTGGGGGTGGGAGGGCAGGGGAGGGTTCTCTGCTGAGGGGCTCTGTCCACTTAAAAGAAGACTCTTTACTGCAGAACCCAGGCAGCACAGTTGGCTGCTGTTCCTCTGTGGTGTGCAGCTGTAATTCTGCCCCTGGGAAAGTGCAAAAATGAATTACGGAAGCTGCTTTGCTCCTGATGCACATGTAGAATCTAAATGAACAACCATGACGCAAACTCTAACAAAGATTCCCCTGTCTCCACTCTCAGTAGAGACAAGCACTTCTACCTGCTCAGGTCTGGCAACCACAAGTCAGGTGTCACCCCAATGGGGGGGTGGGATGGGGTGGGGTCTGGGAATTCTAGGGACACTCACTCTGCGGGGACTTCTGTCTGCAAGGTGGTTTGTGATCCGGGGCAGCATCCAACGTAAGGGATCGGATGACAGTCTCACACACAAACTGGGTCCCACTCAAATCATCTTCTGGTTCCTCCACGGAAGCAATGTTCTCGGCCCTTTTCTTGACTGACACTGTGGAATCTGGAAAAAAAAGAACCTTTGTCTGTACTTGGTGTTTAAAGTGTTGCAGAGCTTTCTCCAGTCATGTCCCCATGCTGATACGATGCCAAGGAATAGCTGCTGTCTGTGCTATGTGAAGGTAAGGAGACCTCAAAAAGTCAGATTCTATGGAAAACCCATTTACACACCAAGGTAAGGTTAGTAGAAGGTATGGATAACAACAGGGTGTGGTATGGAAGGGGAGGTTGCAAATGCTTTATAAATATTTAACCCCTTACCAGGAAGTGCTTTAAATCCCGCCCCTTCACTCTCTTCCTGTATCTGCCCCAAGCCTGGCTTCTCTATTAAAGGACTGTCATGTGGCAGAGGAGACATGCAGGGAGTCATATCTGGAGAATGAAGATAGGAGAACCATCAACCAAGAAAAAGCATTGCATCATCAATACTCAGTGTCCAGAAGCAGCAGCTTCTAGGTTTCCTGCCTCCTGCAGAGCTAAACTAAACCCAGGTACGCTTCAAGGCCTGTTGTAAAGAATTTCTCCAAGCCATCAGGTACACAAGTATCTCAGATAGGTCAATCAACACAGGAAGGATCATAAACAGTTGTTTGGCTTTGGAAGACCATGGCCAAGACACAGAACCATGAATGTAAAGTAACAAAGGGACACAAACACCTAGAGAGAAATGGAGAAGAAGGTCCCTTTATGGGGGTACACTCTGTACAAACCTGTATTGTTGCCTCTGACAGAAACAGGGAAATGGGCCCATGGGTGCAGTTTTAATATCACATTGTGGGAGAAATCCTTGCCTACTAATATCTCAGAATGACATAATAACTACCAGAGCCAGGGGGGCAGTACTATTGGGCCTGTTAATAAACAAGGTGGACAAAGTGACATTCTTACCCACAGGAGTGTTGTGGGGCACTCTCTCCAACTCTTGGACAATATTTATATCCAACAGCTCAAAGGACAGCAGATCCTGAAAAAAAAAAAGGCGGGGGCATGTTAGGCTACTTGCAACACATATAAGAGCCATGTTTTGTGTTAAAGGCTACTGAGCTCCACATCATCCTAGATTCAACTCTGTTCAAATTCATGTCTCAGTCAAGTGGGAACAAGAAGAGTTAAATGGGAACCAAACATTCAAATAGCCACTGGGAAGAGAGAGCGGATGCAGTGGGGGTGAAGGTGAACCAGTTAGGCAGAAAGAAGAGGCAACGAAGGGGAAGTTGTGGGAAGCACAAGATAAGTTCCCAATTCAAAGAGGAAACATTTAGTTTAGAAACTTGCTTCCACTGGGGATGATCTTGCCATCCAATGCATCTCACTAGATAAGAGTGGGTCTATCTCTAACTTCCTGGGCAAAACTGACAGCTCTACCAGCTTCCCTTCAACAAGTTAAGAACTTGTTCCCCAGGGCTTTCTGTCCCTTCCCCTCAAAATGCTCAGTCTTCCACCTGGGCAGTCAGAAGGTCCACAGATGGGATGTAGAGCTCTCTCTTGCTGGCAGCATGCTTTGCCTTCTGTGGGATGAGAGCTCCTGTCCCTTCTGTCTGTTCAGTTGCTTCACCAGGCAGAATTTCTTCTTTAGCCAGAAAAGCTTCCTATGGAGAGAAACCATTGGGACACATTTTTGGCCCTCAACAGAACTCAAAAAGCAAGTTGATGGCTGCCTCCCTAAAATCAAATGCACTGTATGTAGTAAAACTTTTTGTTTTAATTTCACACTTTTCTATGAAAAAGCTGCAAAAAGAGTACAGAGAGTTTACTAATTACCCCCTTCATCTAGCTTCCCTAATGACAGTAACTTAGATTAACCATAACAACAATAGTCAAAACCAGAACATTATCACTGGGTAACTTAAACTTAAGCAGTAAATAGGGAAGTTGCCCTAAAACAACATGCACAGGACTTCCCTGGTGGTCTGCTGGTTAAGAATCCACCTGCCAATACAGGGGACACAGGTATGACCCCTGGTCTGGGAAGAACCTGTGTGCTGTGAAGCACTACGCTGGCGCTCCACAACAAGAGAAGCCACTGCAGTGAAGAGCCTGTGCACCGCGATGAAGAGCAGCCCCCGCTCACTATACTAGTGAAAGCCTGTGCAGCATCGATGAGCCAGTGCAGCCAAATATAAATAAATAGAACAACAGGGTTAAGCACTGAAGGACACACAAACAAAGCCCCAGAAGACTACGCCCAATATAAGCAAACTGATATGTTTGAGAGGAGGGGAGAAGCTGGCCTTTCCAGGTTTCTGGGGGATCCACCAGCTGCGAACAGGCCCTTCCAATGCTCACCTCTTGCTGGCAGGTGAGATCATCACCTCTGCTTGAGCTGATCATGCTCTTTTCATTGTTATCCAGGCTCTCTGTGGAGGGGAAAGGATCCACTATGATGCTGCACCAGACCCGAGGCCCGAACTGCTGGCCTTTGTGAGAAAGACGCCAATGGGAAGTGTATGTTCCCTCCAAGGTTGGGGCAATGAACTCCACAGACACGACTCCCACATGGCCAGCCTTTAGGCAGGGAACCAAAACATCCTTCTTTTCAGTAGAAGCCAAAGTCAGGTTTCCCCACATGAACTTGAGCTGAAAAGAATAGTAACAGGAGAAAGAAAGTTTGTCAGTTAAACACTCTGCCATCTCAGTCACTTCACATTCACACTGTGTGGGGAAAACTACCTTTGTGTCTGTGCTCCACTTGACATTTCCTGTATTTTTCATCCTCCAGTGTTTGATAAACTTGGTTCCTGGCTGGAGGTGAGTCCCATCAGGCAAATTCTCGTCCACAAATGCGGCACTGAGTGTCGGCATAACTGGGGCACAGGGTTGCAGAGGGAGCCTGGACAGAAGTTTAGATTTTAATTACTTGTGTTGGGTGTGATGTATTCTGAATATCCAATATGTGGTTCAATATGCAGACCATGACCCTGGAGGGCATACTAGTGCATTTGCTTTATAATGGGAATTCCCTTACAGTCCAGTGGTTAGAATTGTTGCTTTCACTGCTGAGGGCCTGGGTTTGATCCCTGGTCTGGGAACTAAGACCCCACAAGCTTCATGTGGTGCAGCCAAAAAACCCTCCAACAACAAGAACAAACTCTTAATATTTTTTAAGAAAACAAGCTGACCCAAGGAATTCCCTGGCAGTCTAGTGGTTAGGACTCCATGCTTCCACTGTAGGGAGTACAAGTCTGATCACTGGTCAGTGGACCAAGATCCTACCTGCCACATGGCACAGCTGAAAGAATAAAACAAGGGGACCTGTTAAAACACTATGGTGAGGATAACTGAAAGGGTCCATAAATACCACAACTAGAGAGTTGGGCTCTTAAAACATTTGCTCCTTTTGCTTCAAACCCAGACTGCCTCCAGTGAAGAGAGATCACACCAGTTTCTGAACCTTACTGGTTTCTGTTTTTCTGAAGAAGGCAACAAAGATAACTAGCAAACCACCCTTTAAGAACACTAAGATCAGAAAATGGGAAGTTTTAAGGGTTTGAGTGCTAGGAGTTAGCTATAATAACTAAGACAGAATTTGGCTTAAGTTCCAGTTTTAGAGGGCTGGACCTGAAGCTCTGGCTCCCCCCGGCCCTGGGCTTACACCGGGGTGTTTGACTGCAGCAGGCTCTCGGGTCGGCCCAAAGGAGACTTGGGGCTCTGCAGCCCATGAAGCGAATTCCATAGATGAATCTTCCTGTGGAGTTTAAGCTGCTTCTTAAGTTCCTTGACCTCTGCTTTACGCTGTTTCTTCTCAGCCCGCAATCTTTGCTTTTCTGCTTTAAGAAAGTTCTTATCAACTTGCTTCTGGAGCCTGTGAGATTAAAAAAAAAAAAGTCTTAAAAAACAAATCTCACAAATAAACCTTGAAGCTATTCTGAGCCACCTGTGGTCTTCATCAGCATCTGCTTCTAGTTTAGCTTCTTAATTTCTTTCCACAGTTCTGGTTTCCATCTCATTAGCTCCAGATAATTATCCCTGTCACTGTACATCAACTGGAAAGGAGCTGGAACTAAGGAGACTCTTTGGTCTTTTTTTTTGGCTGTGCCACATGGCTCGTGGGAGCTCAGTTCTTCAACCAGGGATCAAACCTGTGTTCCCTGCAATGGATGCGCAGAGTCCTAACCACTGGATGGACCGTAAGGGAAGTCCCAGAAGACTATTTAGCTTTGTGATCCCACCCTGTCACCAAAACCAAAAAGCCAACCAGAGAACAAACACCCCATATATATATGGTTTTACCTGGCCTGTTCCAGAGCAGCAGGAAGGCGAGGAGTAGACAACCTCGAGTGAGAAAACGGTTCAGAGGAACCCATAACCGGTCTCCGCAACTTCAGCAGGACATGGTTGGAGTCATGGGCATATGGCCCTGATTCACAATCTTCGCAGATATTGTAGGATGGGCAGAGGCTGTGAGGAAAGGAATGGCACAGTACCTGAGGTCAGGAGATATGGACCCAGACTTCGATATATTTGCTCTATCACCACTGAGGTGGGAACCTGAGTATGCCACCCACACATGCCATGTCTCAATCCTCATGAATAAAATGAAGATATTAACACTTCACCTATACCTATTTCAAAGGACACTCTATGGGAGGAAAGATATGAAAGAGTTTGGAATAGGGAGACAACCTTTGAGGATCCAATTTTGTTTTGGGGAACTTAATTTTGTCTGGCTCTCTCAATTCAAATGTATACCTGAACACAGCAATCTAATGACTCACTCTTCAAATAGTTATTTTCTGTGGGTGAAGAGTAGCTTGTTTTCAATACAGAGCTGCTGTGTCTGATGCTCAGAGTAAGTACACCCTTTACCCCCCAGAACATTAGAACCTCCCGCTCTGTGGTCTACTAAGGGGTGTTCATTCCCAAGCTACTGCTTTACCTGCACTGGTAGCGCACACCCATGATACTCCTTTGGCAGCTGCTGCAAGCAATATGCCAGCTGAACTGGTTTTCTGGCAAAAACAGTGTCTCCTCTGAAACAGGCATTGAAACTTCTGAGGGACATGAACCTAAGGATGGATTCTGGAGGACAAGCTTCTCGCGTAATTTCTGTTCAAGCTTTTCAACCGTTTCTTTAACCACTTGTTCTCTGAACTAGAATACAGAAAAGGTGGTGTGGGGTGGGGGGGAATTCTCTCAGTTCCAAGACTGGAAAAACGCATGAAAATATAAAATAAACCTGAAACCTCACCATCTCTGGTATAAGAACACAATAATCAGATAATAGATACAGAATGAATGGACAAAAACATAGCCAAAAATGGTCTAATCCTTCCACAGCTAAAGTGGCTTCAAAGCAAATATCAAGAAGCCCTTCTAACGCTTCCTTCTCAAGCACAGAAATTTGTCTCTTTCCCTTACATCCTTAAACTCCCTTTTCTAGTACATCACTGCAAAGACCAGGAACTTCCTTGACTGGAAAGTTTGGAAGTTGGAAAGTTGTAGTTTGGAAATTACTAGCTACCATTCTTCGTTCACCTGTACCAGAGGCAGCAGCCCTCTGGAGCTAGCTTTCTATTTCTTCAACAATCCATCTTTGCCAACAATGCTGCTAAACCCAAGCTAGAAAGAACACTCACTGTCTCTAGGTAGCTTGTGAACCAGTCAGGGGGCTTGTCTTGAGGCTGGTCTGGATTACGTGGAGCAGGTGGAAGCTGCTGCAAGTGAACACAAATCCAAGATACTTTTTTTCTTCTGTTTAAAGTAATTGTCCTACAATGTATCATTTTGAGGTTTCTTTTGTCAAATAATATTAACATATAGCTTTAAAAAGTGAGCATGAAAAAGTATAAGAAAAATGTCACCCTATTCATGGTCCTCTCCAGAAGTAACTACTGTTACCAGTTCAAAAAGTCAGACAGAGAGGGTCACAATTAACTCCCAAACCTCTGAAGAACAGCTCAAATCTTAGACCAGAGACAATGAAACACAGGTCAGAAAAATCATAGACAGGTCGTTCCCTTTGTACCTGTGTTGCAGGATCCTCTGGGGTCTTCATGTCTGACCCCAAGACTCTCACCAGTGAAGAATAATGTGCAAGTGGCTTCTTTCCTGTCTTAGCAACTGGTCGTTTTTCTGTTCCAATAGGGGGTGGGGCTTCTTCGACAACACGACAGCCTTCATGGACTTGCATCTGCAATTGGTTTCCCTGCTTAACTGCCATCTGAGAGCAGAAGTTATGAAATAAAAACAATATTATGTGATTCTTTTCCTAAATAAAAATTCAAAGACACAAAAACAGAAAGGGTATGGGAACATTTGCTGGAAAATATCACGATTTATGCTTCTTTGTATATCTGTAATATTTTTTTAATATTCTTTCATCTTAGAGAGAGGTAAACTGCTGATTTCCAAGACTATACCTATTCCTCAAAATGGTTTCTTTCTTTTTTGGGGGTGGGGGAAGCGTTTTTTCAAACTTTTTTATTATGAAAAATTTCAAACATACACAAAAGTAGGAGTAGTATGATAAATCCCCAAGGATTCATGCTTTTTTAAATTAAGTCAAATGACAAATATGCTAATACTCAGCCTGCTGCTTCTTTGCCAAGAATGTTAACTAGGAATGGTTTTGTTAAAAAACAAAGTTTTTAGTGTAGCTCTTCATTAGGTGAGATGTTTTAATTAATTGGGTTGTTTGATTTTTAAAAATTTAAGTGTAATTGACATAACATTAGTTTCAGGTGGACAACATAATGATCTGACATTGGTATACATTGTGAAATGATCACCACCTTTGTCCAGTTACAATCTGTTAACTGGTTTATAATGTAGGACTCCATTTACAGATTCTAGTCTCAACTTTACAAAAGTCAATTCTAAGACTCAGAAAAGTTAAACTTACATCCCATAGTTAAGTCTTTACCTTCCCACTAAGAACAGTATTTTGGGAAGCACGCTTAAGTGGTCACCTCTTTTTGAAGAGAATCTTCTCAAACACTCTTACTATTTTTTTTTCAAACACTCTTATTTTTAAAAACTACTTCAAGGAACATTTGCGGTTTCAAGAAGGTACTCTAGCATCCAAGGAGAGATTAACAGTCAAGTCTGTGGGGTTCTAGCTCCTCCCACTTGTTATCCAGTGACAAGAACTGTTCTTTCTTTATCTATTTTCACACAGTAGACGTCTTAAGATTCCACTTAGAAACAGCATTCTGTGGCCAAAACATCTGAAAGCTCTTATCTAGGTCAGGGATCAGCAAAATTTCTTTTTTTCTTTAATTGAAGTATAGCATATTTACAATGACTCAGGTCAGGTGTAGAGCAAAGTGATTGCTATACATACACACATACACTTTTTCAAGTTTCTTGTCCATAATAAGTTATTAAAAGACACTGAATACAGTTCCACGTTCTATACAGGAGGTTCTTGTTCAACAAACCTTCTTAAAGGGCCACATAATGAATATTTTAGGCTTCTGGGCCATTCAATTTCTCCTACTACTCAACTCCGTCATTGTGGCACAAAGGTAGCCAGAGACAAAACATGATCAATGGGCATGACTGTGTTCTAATAAAACTTTAAACATGCAGCCAGAGTGAGGTCAGCCGCAAGGTGGTGAACAAGAATTTTTGGGACATATGGCAAATGAGTTTTACCGGTAGGATTCAGAAATAAGAACCTGAAACAGAGAACATGGTGACCTAACTACCAATCATCTGTAGGCCTCTGTGGGGAAAGTTCACAAGAAAGTTCCCTTCCTAGCAAGGGAAAACTTTACATTTTGAAGAAACTAAAAAGTCAGCAACATAGTAAGAAATTGCTATGGCAGGAGATGAAGGCTTAAACCTCACAGGAATCTCAATTCGCAGATTTATATACTGATCATTTGAAACAACTCTAATTAGCTAAAGAGGAAAGATTCAGGAAGCAACCTAGAAAAGTTACCAGTCCTTATCAGAACTAGAAGTTGACCATCCATTGTCAGAACAATGAGTAGATCAACATTTGCTAGAACAATGTAATACTGGTCAGGCTTTGTCTGAACTCTGAGCTTTGAGCAGGCTCAGCCAGAAGAACAATGTAGCATAAGAGTAAACTCTCCTGCTATTCCAAAGAAAAATATTAATAAAAAGAAAACATCATACCAAAAAACACAGAAGAGGGGCTTCCCTGGTACAATGGGTAAGAATCCGCCTGCCAATGCACCGGACACAAGTTCAATCCCTGGTCCAGGAAGATCCCACATGCCATGGGGCAACTAAGCCTGTGTGCCACAACTACCATGCCCACATCCTAGAGCCTGTGCACTGCAACAAGAGAAGCCACTGCAATGAGAAGCCTGCGCAACCAAGAGTAGCCCCCTGAAAACAGAGACAGCCCCCATGCAGCAACAAAACCCCAGTGCAACCAAAAAATAATTTTAAAAATAATTTTTAAAAAAGCACCGGAAGAATGTGAACAAGTACAAGATAACTGTGCTATTAAAGAACAAGAATTTGGAGGAAATACGAGAGAAGCTCTAAGGCTTTACTAAAAAGGCCAGTATCATCTTTTTTTTGGCTGCACCATGCAGCTTATAGGATCTTAGTTCCCTAACCAGATAACCTGTGCCTTCCACGGTGAAAGCTCGGAGTCCTAACCACTGGACCACTCAGGAATTTCCATCAGTACTTTCTGGTGGAAAGGATTAAGCTATCTGTTGGCTACTGAGTTCGGGTATGTACTATCCCTCCTAACATTGAACTAAATTTGTCAACAGAAACTGAGATTGTTAAGCTATACTGAAAATAAAATGTTCAAATACTGTTTTTGTAAAAAGAAATTATATCTAAATAGTCTACATGATTCCTTTTCTTCCTTTCACTTTTCATTTTTGTCCAAGCTTCAGGGCATGTGGGATCTTAGTTCCCCATCCAGGGATTGAACATGTGCCCCCTCCTTCAGAAGTGTGGAGGCTTAACCACTCACTGGACCTTCAGAAAGTCCCTCCTTTCTTTTTTTAACTGAGGTATGGTTGATTTATAATACTATATGCTTTCAGGTATATAACCTAGTAACTCATAATTTTTAAAGATCATATTCCATTTATAGTTATAATATGATATGGCTAAATTCTTCATTCCTTGTAGCTTATTTATTTTATATGTGATAGTTTGCACCTCTAAATCCTCTACCCATTTCTTGTCCTTCCCTACTGGTAACCATTAGTTTGTTTTCTGTATTGGTGAGTTTGTTTCTTTTTTGTTATATTCACATTTTACTTTTTAGATTCCACATAAATGATAACATACAGTATTTGCCTTTCTCTTCCAATCTATTTCACAAAGCTACATCCATATTGTTGTAAATGGCAAAACTTCATTCTTTTTTATGGCTGACTAGTATTCCTGGACTTCCCTAGGGGTTCAGTGTTATCCACCTGCCAATGCAGAAGATGTTCGTTCGACCCCTGGGTTGGGAAGATCCCTTGGAGGAAATGGCAAACCACTCCAGTATTCTTGCCTGGGAAATCTAATGGACAGAGGAGCCTGAAAGGTTATAATCCATGGGGTTGCAAAAGAATCAGACATGACTTAGTAACTAAACAACAACTAACTGTATGGGTGTGTGTACACATCTTTATCCATTCGTCTGTTGATGGACACTTAGGTTGCTTCCATATCTAGACTACTATAAATAATGCTGCTGTGAACATTGGGTGCATACATCTTTTCAAATTAGCATCTTCATTTCCTTTGGATATATACTCAGGAGTAAAATTGCTGGGTCATACAGTAGCTGTATTTTTAGTTTCTTGAGGAACACCCAAACTGTTTTTCACAGTGGCCACATCAAATTTACATACCCACCAACAGTGTACAAGTGTTCTCTTTTCTCCACAGCCCTGCCATCATTTGTTATTTGTGACCTTCCTGATGATAGCCATTTTGACAGGTGTGAGGTGACCTGTTTCTTATTTATTTACCTCTGAAGGCAGGCTGGCCTGGAGAACTGAAAGAACCTTTTAGTTGAGTGAGGTGTAATATTTTTATCATTTAAATTCAGATGAAATACAGTGTTCAGAAAAAATTTTAAATATTATATATATATATATTTAGAAAAGGCAGAGGAACCAGAGATCAAATTGCCAACATCTGTTGGATCATCGAAAAAGCAAGCGAGTTCCAAAAAAACATCTACTTCTGCTTTACTGACTACACCAAACCTTTGACTGTGTGGATCACAACAAACCGTGGAAAATTCTTAAAGAGATAGGAATAGTAGACCACCTGACCTGCCTCCTGAGAAATCTTTATGCAGGTCAAGAAGCAACAGTTAGAACTGGATATGGAACAAGAGAAATTGGGAAAGGAGTATGTCAAGGTGACGTACACTGTCACCCTGCTTATTTAACTTATATGCAGAGTATATCACGCAAAATGCTGGGCTGGATGAAGCATAAGCTGGAATCACGATTGCCGGGAGAAGTATCAATAACCTCAGATATGCAGATGACACCACCCTTATGGCAGAAAGTGAAGAAGAACTAAAGAGCCTCTTGATGAAAGTGAAAGAGGGGAGTGAGAAAGTTGGCTTAAAACTCAACATTCAGAAAGCTAAGATAATGGAATCCAGTTCCATCACTTCATGGCAAACAGATGGGGAAACAATGGAAACAGTAAGAGACTTTTTTTTTTGGGTTCCAAAATCACTGCAGATGGTGACTATAGCCGTAAAATTAAAAGATGCTTGCTCCTTGGAAGAAAAGCTATGACCAACCTAGATAGCATATTAAAAAGCAGAGACATCACTTTGTTGACAAAGGTCCGTGTAATCAATGGTTTTTCCAGTAGTCATGTATAGATTTGAGAGTTGGACCATAAAGAAAGCTGAACACTGAAGAATTGATGCTTTTGAACTGTGGTGTTGGAGAAGACTCTTGAAGAGTCCCGTGGACTGCAAGGAGATCCAACCAGTCAATCTTAAAGGAAATCAGTCCAGAATATTCATTGGAAGGACTGATGCTGAAGCTGAAACTCCAATACTTTGACCACCTGATGTGAAGAACTGACTCACTGGAAAAAGACTCCGACACTGGGAATGATTGAAGGCAGGAGGAGAAGGGATGACAGAGGATGAGATGGTTGGATGGCATCACTGACTCGATGGACATGAGTTTGAGTAAGCTCTGGGAGTTGGTGATGGACAGGGAAGCCTGGAGTGCTGCAGTCCACGGGGTCACAAAGCATTGGACACGACTGAGCAACTGAAGTGATGTGCGCACGCGTGCACACACATGGGCACGTGCGCACACACACACACACACACACAGAGTCAGCTTACCAGGTATAGTTTGTCAACTCTTATTCTAGGCAAGAAACCAAGAAGCTTTTTCTAAAACACTTGGTAGAGTCTGTGAAAAAAATTGCTCAAGAAATAACTATAATGAAACTGTGTCAAAATATAAATGTGGGATTTTAAGTATTATATAGTAATTATGTAAAAACTATGCATATAAAAGAAGTCTTGCTTCCTAGGGCAAGACAGGCTTATATAAACTGTAGACTCCTGATATCTAAGATTTCTGACTGAATAGGTAAAATAGTGAACATGGGAAAGGCAGAGGAATTCTCAAGTTTTAAAAAGACTTTGTGAAACTACTGTAGCTTCTGAGAACTGGGAAACCGAAAAGCTGGAAGGGTTGAAGAACAGTAAAGGGGTGTTAGGGACCATCATATGAAAACAGCTTAAAAGCAGAGCAAACAGGAAGACTGCATGAACTGGGGCAGAGAAAAATTACGAAGCATGAGAAATTCTTAACACAGATGGATATTTCAACTACAAGAAACCAGGAGAGGACATGGATATCTAAAACCAATAGACTGCTGGGAAATAAAGATTTCTCAGTAAAAAACAAGAAAAAATTGGCTAAATTTTTGAAACCAGTGGCACCCAGAACAGCAGTTTTGACCAAAAACTGGAAAGGGTAAATTCAGCTACTGATTTTTTAAACAAAAATCTTGCTTTTCCCTTCTTCTCTCCCTAGACCAAAAGTGAGTATGGAAAATGACTTAATCTGGACTAGAAGTTCAAAAAGGATAGTCAATGAAAGTCCATCTTGGCACACCTTAAATAAGTGACCTTGAGGAATGTTCTAATTGATCACTGACAAACAAGAGGATATTTGTAACTGCATGGTTACACCTTAAATTCTTCCACATTATAGTGTAATATTCTACAAGGAACAAAATGAAGGAAGGAGATGAAAAGTGTGAACCAGAAAGCATCAATCCAGAGTTTTCTGAATTCTGAAATGCCAGGATGGTGGCTTCAAGATCAGCAATGAGATATCATGATCATCAGAAAGAATCTTTAATTAGGATGTACCTTTTGCTGCGTGGTATGCCAAACTCAAGCCAGTCTCCCTAAAAATGGGTTTTGCTGTCATTAGTTTCTCCCCATGGCTAACGGAATTCAGGCTCAAGTTTTAGTCCATAAATATTTTTTAAATTATTCGAAAATAAGATGAAATAATCATTACCTTAAGTGCTTCTTCATATTCTCCTAAAAGGACAAAAATACATACTGTGATTTTTTTTTTTAACCAGCCCAAAAAGATTCAATTAAGCACAGTAAATTCTTACTTTTAAAAATTCTTAGCTTACAACTGTGTGTTACACAAACAGCTACTACTTTTTAGCTGACAAACTCCCTTCTCATGCTGTCATAAATAGAAGCTACTTGCAGATTAGTTCTCCCCCTTAAATCCTTCTCTCTTTGCTACCAGAGCCTTCCACTTACAAAAACTCAATCCAGTTCCCTTACACTAGACTTAATGAAGCTCAGGACTCAAGGAAGTTCAAGGATAATGGTAATACTATCATTTCAGCCAGTTAAAAATATAACATTGTTCCTATGGAAAATACACCCATGTTCTGAACAACCATCTTATTTATACATGGACTTTAACATATACACCAAGTCAAGGAAAAAAGCAATACTAGGATTACAAGTTAAATGTGTTGAACTGGGAAGTGTATTTTCAAAAGATTAGCATCTTAAATATAAGAGAATCTCTCATTAAAGAGGTCCTTTGGGTCCAATCAAGGTGCCAACCTACACACAAAAACTGCTAAAAAATAAAGATTTGCCATGAATCTAATGCCCCTGGGTAAATGAGTGCATTTATCCCAAATTCTACTCTGATACTGCAACAAGATTTGAGTGTAAATGGAAAGACCAACGCCCATGACCAGATTAAGATTTTTAAATAAAGCTCAATAGGTTTTCTTAGGGACTTACCTTGACTGTTGATGGATACCTGTGAAGAAAAAGCAACAGTGAATTATAAACTTCTCATCAACTGAGCAATTCAGCATATTCAGCCTCATAGGACAGACGCAAAATCTCAGGTTAGGGGTCCCACTTTTCCAGTACCTGAACTAACTGTGAATAATTAATTTTATTGTTTAACTATCACATCTACCTTTATTTCAGGTACACTGAGAAGCAGCATGATATAGTGGCTAGGAACCTGGGCTCTGAAGCCAGAAAGTATGAAGTATGTGTATCAGAGGGTATGAGTGGTACCCTACTCTACTACTTCTAAGCTTTTGCTCCTATGGGCAAGGTCATTGAAACTCTCTGTGGCTCAGTTTCCTCATGAGTAAAACAGAGATGATGATAATAGTGTATACACACATAGTACTGTTGTTAGTGTGACACGTTATAACCACTCAATGAGGGTTTGCCATTACTTTTTATTATTATAAAATAGCAGCTTGTGACATAGTTGAACGTAAGATCACCTGTAGTTTTAAAAGTCATCTCTCAGATTTTCTTCTTCAACGCTGCTTTCCTATTTCTCAACTCCATTTCAGATGCCACAACTTGGCTTAGAACATGCAATTATCAAATAGATTTAAACTCCTACACAAATGAAATAAACAGTATTCTGATATTTTTGAATACCATATCGCTCTTGAGAAATAAGATCCTTATTCTGGATACCTGGTCATGGGTACTATAATATACTTTACCTCTTCATTTTCCTCATCCAAGTATTTTATTTGAATAGTGTTCAGATCAAATGAAACTTTTACCTGCAAATAAAATGTGCACACTATATGATCAAGTTATCAAAAAGGCAGGTTGCAATAGAACCCTAGAAATCATAATATAAAGGATGGATAGGGACTGCCCTGGTGGTCCAGTGGCTAAGATTCCATGCTCTCAATGTAGGGGACCTGGGTTCGATCCCTGGTCAGGGAACTAGATCCCACATGTCACAACTAAGAGTACATACAGGGCTGTTAACACTGATCACTCCCAAAGAGGTTGAAATAGTGGGTGAAGGGTGAGGGGAGTGGCCCTCCACTCCATATAATCTTTTCATTATATATGTTTGGATTGTTTCATTTCTTATAATAGGCACATATTATACTTTTATAATTTAAAATTTACCATAAAGAAAAAAGGCAAGTTGTCAGCTCATTTCTAATAGGAAAAGAAAGATAGCTGTTTTTGATTTTCAGATCATTTGACAAACAAGATCTAACTTTCTGGATAACCATCTGTCCAGGCAGTATAAATAAATAAAAAGAAATCTTTCCTGGAAGACAGAGGACTAGATCAGATCATCTTTTGAGGTCTCTCCACCATGTCTTACCATAACATATAACCTGGTAAAAGCAGGTTTTTAACCAAAGAGTTTCATTAGACAAACAGTTACACAGGAAGTACAACATTCACTATTGCAAATCAAACAAAAACAGAACAAAGGGCAAACCTAGGGGAGGAAAGGCACTACCAATAACAACAAAAGGAACAGAAGGAGCTGCTGTGAACATGTGTGGCAGTTTTCCTGCTCAATTCTGAGACACTCATCCTCCTGACCTACCAATAAATACAACTGATCAGATCTTGAGACAAACAAAGATCTTTGTATCTTTGGTGGTTCAAAACCCACAGTAACCTATCTGCTCTCAATCAAGAGAACGTTAACCTAAGGCCTGGTTAGGGTGGGGCCCACGCCAATTCATTCCTTAGGCTGTATCTACAAGAAAAGAATTTCTAAGTCCTATTTCACTTAAAAAAATAATTTTACCTTCCTTTCTAAACTCTTCAAGACGAGTTTGTTTCCTCTACCAGGTACATCTGTATGAACACCGAACCCTTGACAAAAATTATTTTCCAAAAGGCTCAGAAATGGTAAATATGACAGATTTTACAGCTAAGAAACATGGCTAAAAATAACTACTTTGGGGGAAAATATCCCTGCTTAAAGGACGGAGAAACAAAACAAAATAACACTCACCATAGCTTCCACATCAGCCCAAGTTGTATTTTCTGGGTCAGAAACTAGAAAGCTTTGAGTTTCATTTTTAAAAGTCACATTTAGTGTAACCTGTGGTTCCATGTTGTGGGGCTAGAGAAGACAGGATGGGTGAGGGAGAGAAAACACATCAGACAGGGTTCTGTAAACTGTATAAACATTCAGTCAGCTAATATCTGTGAGGACCTAATATAGGCTAGGCTAGGAGGACACAGCGGTGGATGAGAAGATAATGTCCCTGCTCTTCTGCTATTTACAGTCCAGTAGGTGGTTTAAATGGACATGAGTTTGAGTAAACTCCGGGAGTTGGTGAGGGACAGGGAGGCCTGATGTGCTGTGATTCATGGGGTCGCAAAGAGTCGGACACGACTGAGCGACTGAACTGAACTGAACTGAGGTGGTTTAAAACAAATCTCACTTTCATATGTTTGCAAAGAGAATGTAAATTTTGGTCACATTCATAGAAATCATCTAACATTTGTAAAATCCTTTGGATTTTATGAACTTTATGATGACTGCTTAATTAAACAGACACCTGCTGTTACATATCTACTAGTAGGATACCAAGATGAGTAAGAGCAGGACTCTACCCTTGGGGAATTTATATTCCTAAAGCTTGAAGATGTTCTAATAAATTTCTCTTGGAAAAGATGTCTTTTCCTAAACTGAGCAACCTAGGTTCTGTATTAGATCTATTTTAACAATTTAGAGGCTGAAACACTAGCCAAGAAACTACACAGGTGTAGCATTCAACACCCTTTATTCAAGTTCATTTTTTTTTTTGACAGTCTACTTTTTTCTTTTATGGAGAATTTCAAATATACATAAAAGTGGAGAATATTGATGATCGAACTATAACGATCAACTCAAAGTTACCCTCATTTCATCTATACTCTTCCATCCCTCCAATATGGATTGACTATAGTCAACTAATGTTCAGGATTAATCTTGTTATAGCAATGCCTTTCCCTACTGGATTATTATTATTGTTTTTATTTCTTGGCCACATCATGCCACATGCAGGATCTTAGTTCCCCAACTGGGGATCAAACCTCTGTCCCCTGCATTGGGAGTGTGGAGTCTTAACCACTGAACTGCTAGGGAAGTCGTTATACTGGATTATTTGACAGCCATCATTTTATCCATAAAATAACTGAGGGTTTTACCTCTCAAAGATAAGAATTTTACTTACAAATTGTTAGATCGTTTTTTATGACTTTACAAAAAAGTTTAAATCTAAATATAAGTTGTAATGTAAAAGAACAGCCTTTTCATGTTTCACGTTTTTTAAAAAACATATTCATTAATGCATCCTGACTAAGCATCTACAGATTCAGATTCTGCTCCAGGCACAGACACTGCAGAGGACCAAGACTAAGTCTCAGGAGTTTACAGTGAAGAAGGGAGGGAGCACAGTAGTTTAAAACAGCTGGATTCCAGACAGCTCTGGCACATTATTAGCCATATAAATGTGAGCAGGTCATTTAAACTCTGAGCTTCAGTTTCTGAACCTGTAAAATAAGCCTGAGATCTCCGTTTTGCTAACCTCACAACACTATCATAAGGATTAATTAAAAATGTGTATGCTGGTTCTTTGAAAACAGTACTTAAACATGAAAGTTATTATTATATAAATCAGCCTTTAGAACCTGACATAGTGCTGTTTTCCACAGTATAATGAACTGCCCTGTGAAACAATACAACTGTGAGACTGTCATTAAAAAGGATCTTGAACTCTCTAATCAGGGATTTGAGGGGGTTTTTTTGTAAATCCAAACACAAACATCTCCCAACTTTTTCCATTCTCTGTCTCCACCTAGAGCCAAGAGCATTATCAAAATAGTTTCTGGCACCAATCCTGCTGACATCCAATATCTCATTCACACAGAATGCAATTCTTGGGGTCCTTAAAATTTGGACAAAACTCCTGTCAATGCCCCAGAATCATGGGCAAAAAATCGGGGCGACTGACTAACTCACTCTGCCAAAATTCGATCTTCTAAAACACATTCTCAGTTTTCAACTTCTGAGAAGCACACTTCCACACTTTTGAGAATCCAAAAGGAAGCTAACCTCTTCCCTCTTTCTCAAATTACACAACTGGAAATAAGTTTTGATACGTTGGAACTCATCCAGCTGGCTGACTAGGGAGGTGAAAACAGGAAGTGGGAGATTCTAGTTTAGCTGGACTATAGCCAGGTCTTCATAGTCGCCTATTTATTTGCCTTGGATGTGAAATTCTTTCAGCAAGAGTATTGTCTTGAACTTGTGAAAATACCAAAGCTGTGGTTAGTGTCCTCTGTCACTGTAGTTAGTCAAGTCAGGTAGCTGGGGCCTAGGCTTTCAGCTTTCATTAACTGGATTGTATTAAATTCATGTTCTGGCTCAGCTTTCCCTGGCACAAGTCAGCTTTTCCTCTAAGTCGATTTTTCCAGGATCTCAAACATCCCTTAAATGAAGTTGACCTGGAACCTGAGCTTTGATTACTGTCTCCACCTGAGGCCTATCCTGGAGTTAAAACGTGTGACCTGGTAACTCCATGGCTGATTCATGTCAATGTATGACAAAACCCACTGCAATGCTGTGAAGTAATTAGCCTCCAACTAATAAAAATTTAAAAAAAAATGTGTGACCTGAAAGCTATGTGTTCAATAAAAAGGAAAAACGGTGCCCTTCCAATACCAGAGGTCCCTGAACAAGAAGACTTCCTTACGAGGTTCTCCAAAAGTGGGATGAGGGGTAGTGAGGAGGCTGTGTGGGCAATGTCATCTTTTTTTTCCCTTGCAGACTTCATCCTAGTCTTCCAGTTATCGTTTCCTAGCACTCCTTGTCCCCAAGAGAGTGTCACCACCCCCTGAGAGCTCTCTCGTTTCCTTTGCCCAGGCCTTTTTTGTCCTGGGGAGTATTGGGGTCCTTCACCAGAAGCTAGGCGTTCTGAAGCACGGACCCTCCGTCCCTCCTGTGGTATCCGCCCCCTCGGCCCCTCAGAACACGAACGGATCTCCCATCAGGTCACTGAAATATCGGTTGTCCAAGTCACGGAAGAAGTCAGCCTTCTCCTTTGGAGGCTTCCTCCCGTAAACTTCCCCAAGTCCTCTCGGTGAGACGTGACACCACCCCTAGGTAACCGCAGTTGTTTCCTTACCAGCTTCCCGCCCCCGGGGGGCGCCTGCCGGAGGCTAATGCAAGAACCGCTCGCTGCCAGCTCTGCTGCTATTCCTGCGGGGTGAATCTAACATGGCGGACAGAGACAGGGCCTAGTCCCCAGGTTCTCTGAGTTTTCGACAAGATGATTGGTTTTTACCAAGTGTCCTTCAAAACTACAGCCCCACTGATTGGTCGAAGATAAGTTGGCGGGGGCGGGGCAGGAGGAGCTTGACCCTCACAACAATAACAAACACGGGGCAAAGGGGCGGAACTGCGAGTGCGCAGCCGTGGGCCGGGGCCCCGGATGATTTCCCCTTCCCAGGTAAAAAAACGCGCCAGTTGCATTTCTTTAGGTCACCGACTTTAGAGGACGACTTGCTGGAGACTCGCGGGGCTGGATGGGGGCTGTAGTCTTACTAGGACTTGTAGGTTCTTTAGCCTATTATCCACGCTCGACATACGAAAACATAACACTCCAATCCATATCTGTTGACATGCATAAGCGCGCGGAGCTCTTCAGTTTATCAACTGAGTTGTCGTTAGACTCGCGTCTGCCTCCCGTATCGGAGGTTCCTCTCCATAAGACTACAGTTTCCAAGGAACACTGTGGCCAAGGCCTTTCGATTCGCAATGCATGCTGGAAATCGTAGTTTTTCCCTCACAACCCTATTATTTACCTAAACTTGAAACTCCCATTGCGGCGGAAAGGGTGAGGGTGCTGGGCCTCTTCCTGCGACTGCTTTAGGCACTATCATGAGCTCATATTCGGGCTCCAGGGAGCGATCTCGACGTTAGTACAGCAATCACTGTGACGTAATAACCCTTACCTGGAAGCGTAGAAGTGAGAGGGAGGGCGCCTATTAGAAAACTCCGGGAGAACTTGGTCTCTTCCGTCTCTTTCTAATTACGTAAAGAGGGAAAGAATGGATGACCAATCGGGAGCCCCTGAGAGACTCAGCACTTTCTGCTCCGCCCTTCGGTTACGTGTCCGGTTCTCGCCTTCTGAGAGGCTCTCGCTCGCGGCAGCAGCCGGTTTCCGTGGCAACAATAAAGCGCGGGAATTACGGATTAGTTGAAACTGCGACTGCGCGGTGTGAGCTCTCTGGACCGAGGACTGTGCGGGGGCTTTTTCAGAGAAGTGGGCCTCTGAGTCCAGGAAGCCCGGACTTCTTGTTCTGGGTAAAAGGTGAGAGAACCGTGGGGAAGGGAGAGCGGCCCGTGGGGTGCTCTGAGGCAGTAAACAGGTGTGGGGAGAGCCGGGGAGAGGTGACTCCTGAAGGCGAGCAAGACGGATGTTATTTCTCGGGTGGGGGGCGGGCGGAAGGTGGAACCTGAGAAGCCTAAGACGTTGAATCTGGGGAAGTAGTGGGGAGAGGGGCTGTTTGTGTGTCACGGGATCAGGAGGAGGTGCAGATGGTAAGGGCGGGGGCAGGGTGTGTCCTTGGGGGACTCCTGAGGGGGACAACATGGTATAAAAAAAGACGAGCTGGTATATTTGAGAAAGGGACCCTGAGGGAAAACGGGGGCAGGAATGTATCTGGGAAGAGGAGGAGAAAGGACTTTGTACGAGGCCGAGCGCTTAAGAGCTGGATTCTTGTGGGTTTCTGTGAAGGAGCCAGAAGGAAGTAGAGGGAGGAGCCTCCGTAGGCCCAGATGCTGCTGGCACCGATGTGCCTGAGAATCCTGAGTGTAGGCCAGTGGGAAAATCTGGGGAAGGACAGGGATAGGAGCGTTGGTTGGTGTTGATTTCTATTTTCAGGGCGAGAAAGAAAACAACTGTGATGGAGAAATAGGAGGGTACCACCACTCACCCAGTCAGTCATCCCACTGTGGCTTTCCCTTTCTTGGAGAACGAAAAAAATCAAAAGGAAATGCTTGGAGGCTAGATGTGCACAAACAGAATTGAAATGGTCTTAATTACACAAAACGTTTAGAAT